GTTCCATATGCCTCTTGCCTGGACCACATCTACCTTTACTCCACTCCCATCTGTCTTCACTCTTACATAACTTTCCTACTACAGCCAGCTTCATGGTCTTCAAAACAGTTTTCATCATATTACTGTGTTTAAACAAACCTTTAGTTGCTCCTGGCTGTTCAGTGACCAAAATCCAGAGTCCCTGCTATGGATCCAAACCACCATGTCTACCCTTCTGCCTTACCCTCATTGACACACTTTTATTCCAGGTTCTTCAAGCTGCTGGCAATGGCTTATTAAGAAGGCCCTACGGGATGTCCCTGGTGGTCCAGTGGCTAACCCTTTGAACTCCCAATGCAGGGGGCCTGGGTTCAATCCTTGGTCAGGGAACTAGATCCCACATGTCACAACTAAGGCCCAGCATAGCCAAGTAAATCAATATTTTTAAAAAGGGAGGTATCAACATCTAAAAAAAGGAGGTCCTAAAAATCAATGAAGTGTATTATGATCAGTATTTTTAATGAGGTGTACAGCAAAATGGAAAATATGCATTAATACTTGGCTTCATCCCCTGGAAAAGGGAATGGCTACCCACTCCGGGATTCTTGCCTGAGAAATCCCATGGACAGAGCAGCCTGGTGGGCTACAGTCCATGGGGTCACAGAGTCAGACACAAGAGAGTGACTAACACTTTCACTTTTTCCTTAAAGCAGGCTCTGTGCTAAATCCTTTACATTAGACTCACAGACGAGGACACTAGGACCCCATGGGTTTAAATAAGTTGCCTAAGGTAACTAAGCCAAACTTGACCCCGGGCAACCTGGGGGCAGAGGCCATATCCCTAACCACCACGCTGTATGGCCTCCTATGCTACAGAACTATGTGGAATAGAAGAGAAAATCCAGGTGCACTGTTTCCATAAGGGTAACTGTTTTATGAAGGTCTGTTGCAGATGAACGTAAATATGTATATACACAAGAATAACAGAAAATGCGTGTCACCCGAGTGCACAGTGTCAGAGTGTCTTATTGGCACTTGAGGTCAAAATGTGTGAAACCCACTCTTCCAGCCAAACTGAAGGAACCTCCAGTGGTTCCCTCACACTTCTCTGCCTCCATGTCTTTACCCATTCTGATTTCAGCACTTGAAATGTCTTTCCTTATCTTCTTCCACCTACATATCTTCAATCCAAATATTGTCTCCTCCACAAAGCCCTTCTTAGTTCTTCTCTCCAGTCTGTCTTCTAAAGTAGAACTTTCTCAAGGACTTGTCTATATTAATTTTGTGCTTTCTGATTGAGTCTCATCCTCCCAGAAGTCTTCACTCTTACTCCCCATCAATTTGATAGTTTTCTTGGTCTTCAACTTCTTTCTGTGTCAGTTCAGGGCAGTGGGAAGTGTGGTCCCCAGACCTGCAGCTTCAGCACCGCCTGGGAACTAGTTAGAGATGCACATTCTCAGGTACCACCCATCACCTACTGAATCACAGATTCTGAGGGTGAACAACAGGACTGTGTGCCACAACAAGCCCTCCAGATAATTCTGCTGTTTGCTCAAATGTGAGAACCATTAGCTTCAGGAAAAATCATTCTTATTCAATATCAGAGAAGAGTTTCCTCCATGAATCTGGGCCAGTTGATGCAATGTGATGTTGGTGAGGACAAGGTCATGGGATCAACCTCATGGATGCAGGTCAGCAATATTTCTTACTTATATGCTGACCTTCAATTTTAGCCTTTGTGCAATTGTAGGCTATTTAGTCCTAAGAGAAACAATGGATGCTTCAGTGCTCATCTGTCCCCTGCTCAATGCTAACTTGCAGCTCTAAATGCTTACTGCACAGCCCTGGCTCATTTGAGGAGCCAGGCCTGGGCCATGGGCTATTAGCACTCAGAAGCAGGCAGTAAAAGCAAATCTAGGAATGGACAAGGATATTGTCAGAGGCCAAGAGAACCTGGGCAGAACACCAGTCTGTAAGGCAAAAGCATTTTCAGAAGTATAGCCAAGACAGATTGAAAATGATTCCAAAAGACAATGCTAGTCCATGTGGGTTTAGAATGGGAATAAAATTTCATAGGACATCACTCATTGGATTAGGGACCACCTTAAAACACATGAACTCATCTCAATTTGAGTACATCTGCAAAGATCCTGTTTCCAAATAACATCACATTCATAAGTACTGGGCATTAGGACTTCGATATATCTGTTTGTGAGAGACACATATCAACCCACAACAGCCCCAGACACTTCCACCACAGTATCTTATCACCTTCATAACACTTTTCAGTACATAATGCTGTCCTATTGACTGATAAGCATATTACTGTTGCCTACTCCTATAGTCAACTAGAAAATTGAGAATCCTTCCAGCCAGGGTGTCTCTCTATCTTCTTCACAGCTGAATCTCCAGCACCTATAATGGGGCCTGGCACAAAGTGATGTTTATCGCATATTGATGACTGTATTCCCTCTCCCCATTGGGATCTTTAATCACCTGGACCCACCTCTGCAACCACAGGGATGAGTGTATGACCTGGGCTGGCCAATCAGATTGGGCCTGGTACACTGGGAAGACCCACAGGAATCAGGTGGAGAGGGAGGTGGGAGGGGGGATCGGGATGGGGAATACATGTAAATCCATGGCTGATTCATGTCAATGTATGACAAAAACCACTACAATATTGTAAAGTAATTAGCCTCCAACTAATAAAAATAAATGAAAAAAAAAAGAACCATTTTAAGGAGATAAGACTGTGTAAAAGGGGGAAACCATGCTCTTTCTTTGAAGTTACTGGCTGTGCAGATGATGAATGACACTGTGTGGTTGCCAGATAAAGAACCGAATAACTAATACATGTTTTAATACAAGTGTAAACCAAATGGACTTCCCAGGTGGCGCTAGTGGTAAAGTACCTGCCTGCCAATGCAGAAGACATAAGAGATGCAGGTTCAATCCCTGGGTTGGGAAGATCCCCTGAAGGAGGACATGGCAACCCAGCCCAGTATTCTTCTTTGGAGAGTCCCACAGACAGAGGAACCTGGTGGGCTACAATCCATAGAGTCACAAAGAGTTGGATACCACTGAAGTGACTGAGTGTGCATGGATGCATATCTCAAATATTGCATAATATTTAGTATATCTTATACTAAAATATGGACTAGCTGTCTGAGATTTGAGTCTAACTAAGCCTTCTATATTTTTATTTGTAAATCTGGAAATTCTATGAGCTCAGTCTCAAACCACCAGCAGCCAGGTTGTCCACCCCATGGAGAAAGCATGCCTGAGAATGAAACTTTCAAAAAGAAAACAGGGCCTAAAATGACTGATTCCTGGTGATACTTTCCAAATGTCTGCATCCTGTCATGTCTAAATTCTTTCTTTGCCACTGGGACTTTCTGGTAATCCAGCTCAATAAAATCATCTTTTTTTTCTTTCCTTAATTTTTTTGAATTAAGTTTTCGCCACTTGCCAATGAAGGCATTCTGGTGAATACAAGTCGCCTTCCACTCAGCGCCAATTCATAGCTCCATGAACAGCAGAAAGTCCATGATCTCTCCATTCCCCTCCTTGCTTTTCTACCACTTTCTTCATGTATCCATATTTCATTCTGATGTGGTCCTTTGCATTCAGGCCAGACATCTCATCTGCATGCCCTGGATCTGCATTATCAAGTCCCACCAAGATGCAGAGCAAGAATCAACAAGATACAAAGCCTCGCGTGTTGATGTTCATCACCTTTCAGAGCATAAATTCAATGTGTCACATTATGGAAATTAGTAGTGATGAACGAGAGGGAAGAAAAAAGGTGAAAAAGACAGAGAACCCCATCCTATTGCAGCAAAAATGTCAACAGAACCTCAGGAGAGACAGGCCCTAGTGTTTGAGCTGGATGCTGTAGATTTCCTGAGCAACAGGACCCCAGCCTTTCATTCCCTTCTCCAGCTTCACAGCAGAAGTCCTAGAGAAGATCTAGTTTACCATACAAGAGTGACAGCAAAGGGAAAGACCCCCCAGAGGGAAGGGAACACCCCAGGAGGCATTACCTAGAGAAGATTTGTGCATTATGTACCCCTTTGTTTCTGTATAATAGATCTTCCCTTGTTGAAGTGGCAGACAGCTGGGATCACTACATTTAGTGTTGACAGATCTTGATTTGATAAAGCTTGACTCTTTTTCATTCCAGGAGAAGAGAAAAAAAGAGGCCAAATACCAACGTGCCAGTCTCTGACCATCTGAGCAGGAGAGAAGAAAGAAAACTCATGGCCTTATCAAGAGATCATTCAAATGGCCATAGGCAAGATCACTGACCTCCACTCAAATGAAACAGTCAGGCTTCTGAGTCCAGTATTTGCCAAGCATATACTTCATAAAGACACTGCTTATTTATCCGCCAAATATTTATTAAGCATAAAGAATATGCACTTGGGAAACAATAGTGAGCAAATGAAAATGTGGTCTCTTCACCCTGGCTTCTCTAGTTGGGAAGATAAACATTGATCTAATAAACACCCAAGTAAATGAAATCATTATTGTGGCTAAATGCTTCCAAAGAGAGAAACATGTAATATGAGAATAAATAAGAGAGATTCAACAGACTTTATTCAATATTCAACAAATATTTGTTGAACCCCCGCTGTGTGCCAGACACTTGTGGGTAAGTGACAACCACACTCTATTCATCCAGGGACTGGATGTGTTTATTAACTGAAGCTATTTACCACCCCACCACCAAACACCCAGTGTAGAAGCTCATCTTGGTCCCAGCTTGTATAATGAATATTCTTTCCATCCTGTTGCCCACTTTCTGGTTATCTTTAGCCCAGAATAGACACTTGTCATACCTACTGGTTTAAGCCTGCAGAAGTCCAGGGTCTGCAATCAGTCACTCTGGGCTCTCAGGGAAGCAGGGCACAGGCAAACGAGTTCCTGAATCTGAATGGAGCAGGCTGTAATTTTGGTTTTGGCCTCCACCTGAGATGGAGTAGAATTGAGAGAATTACAGAGTAGTGTTAATGTAGTACCCAACTGGTTAGCATTCAGAGTGCTACACTTTGCTGATGAGTCATGAGGTGGGAAGTTTGGGATTTTAACTGTTACATATGGACCTTTACAGTATTTTGTTTTGTTTAATATTCCTGACTGCCCATGGCTTCTCTCCAAGTGATGTGCCCTGTGATAGCTTGACTTCAGACCCACCCACCACCGCCAGCTGAGGAAAATCCAGTGGTGGTTTCCTTGCCATGAAATTGCCCTTGTTCTTCCTACAGTTTGGCTGTTTGCCCAGATTCAAAATTCTCAAAAATTTTGCAAACTTAGAAAGCGTCTTCAGCAGTTCTGGATCATAGTGGTTCATGTGTTCATCAAGTCTTTTGAGGGTAAAAGCAACCCACTCCAAAAGAACTTAAGCAGCAAAAACAAAAAGTAGAGAGGGACATGCCTGGTGGTCCAGTGGTGAAGACTCTGTGCTCCCGATACAGTGGGCTCAGGTTCGATCCCTGGATGGGGAACTAGATCCAACATGCCACAACTAAGATCTGGCACAGCTAATAAATAAATGAATAATAAATATTAAAAAAAAAAAAGAAAAGGGAGAGAGGGAGGAGGATGTATTTGGAGGGCACACATGTGACTTATAGAACCCAAGGGAGTAGAACGTCACTGGCCCCTACAAGGGTCTGGAACCGGGAATTGGGAAGGCCACAGGGAACAAGATGATCACAAGTCAATTTCCTCAGTGTCCCCAGGGTTTCTCATCTTTGCTGGCCTCTGTGTTACCAGAGTCATTCATCCTGTGCAGAATGGCTGTCTCCACTCTGCCCAGATGGAAGGATGACTAGCCTACAGCTTCTGCATTTCTGCATCCTTACTTTCTGCCACACCAGAGGTTAACTAGCTGTTGTTTTCCTCTGAAGTTGTAAAATTCGGCCATGTACTCACTTAACTGCACTTATGACAGGTGACTCATAAGTGAGACTCCACCTGCCAGTGCAGGAGAGGCAGGAGATGCCGGTCCAGTTCCTGGGTTGGGGAGATCCCCTGGAGGAAGAAATGGTAGCTCACTCCAGTATTCTTGCCTGGAAAAGCCTATGGACAGAGGAGCCTAGTGGGCTACATTCCATGGCGTCCCAAAGAGTCAGACACAACTAGCATACATGCACGTATTATGAAGCACCTGCCAGAACACTGTTTAAGCACTCTACAAATATTTACAGGTTGAGGTGAGCCCTTCAAAATTATTATTGTGAGGGTCTTTTGTGAAAGTCTGATAAGCGCCATCCCCTCCCACATGGTGTATGGAATAATTTGAGAGACAAGAATATCAAGCCAAGTGAAACTGAAAGTCGCTCAGTTGGGTCCGACTCTTTGCGACCCCCTGGACTATACAGTCCATGAAATTCTCCAGGCCAGAATACTGGAGTGGGTAGCCTTTCCCTTCTCCAGGGTATCTTCCCACCCCAGGGATCAAACCCAGGTCTCCCGCATTACAGGTGGATTCTTTACCAGCTGACATATGAGGGAAGCCCAAGAATACTAGAGTGGGTAGCCTATCCCTTCTCCAGCAGATCTTTCTAACCCAGGAATCAAACTAGGGTCTCCTGCATTGCAGGCAGATTCTTTACGAACTGAGCTATGAGGGAAGCCCCATAGTAGTAGTATGTTTTTATTATTTTCAAACCAAGTAGTATTGTTTTTGTTATTAAGACTAGGTTGGATTACGTGAGTTCTATTTGTACATTTTCTAAAACTGAACCCCAGAGTTTAAGACATACCCTCAATGGCAACCCACTCCAGTATTCTTGCCTGGAGAGTCCTCCGGGCAGAGGAGGCTGGTGGGCTACAGTCCCTGGGGTAGCAAGGAGTCGGGCACGACTGAGCGACTGACACTCTCAGACACAGGCAGACCTGCCAGGCAAGGCCTAGAGCCCTGGCAGAGATGAGAGCCGCTGCCTGGAGGAGCAGCTTAGAGCTCATATACCCTGAGGACAGCTCACCCCCGGGAGAACCGGGAAGAGCTGAGATGAATGTGACCTGTTTACTTTTTCTAAATTTACCCAATAGATAAATCATTTCTCCTCCCCTCCGGCAGAGTGTCTGAAGAGGCAGAGAGAGCTCAGGAGTAGCAGAACTATCTTGCTACACGGAAAAAAAAAAGAATAGAAAAAGCACTGTCCATCCTCAAATAATCATGTATAATATTATTCTTTGTCATTATCATTTAAGTTTTTAAAATCTTTCATTATTTGTAAACTGTGTAGGCATGTTTTACTGCTGATATTTTGGAAATTTGGGGGCTTTGTTTGTTCCAAGTGGCTGTCTTTATAACTATGTGTGATACTTAATTCTCTATTCTTCAGCTGATGTCTGTCAACTCCCTAATATGAACTATGACAACAATATATTTTCTCTTTCTCACATACCTTCTTTCTTTTTGTTAGTACCCAATTCGCATTGATTCCTTTTTTAAATTGAAGTATGTTGACTTAACAATGTTTTGTTAGCTTCAGGTATATAGCAAAGTGATTCAGTTATACACATTTGTAGATTTTTTTTGGATTATTTTTCATTATAGGTTAAAAGTTATGATAAACCTAGACAGCATATTAAAAAGCAGAGACATTGCTTTACTGACCAGGATCCATATAGTTAAAGCTATGGTTTTTCCAGTAGTCATGTGCAGATGTGAGAGTTGGACCATAAAGAAGGTTGAGTGGCGAAGAGCTGATGCTTTCAAACTGTAGTGCTGGAGAAGACTCTTGAGAGTAGCTTGGACAGCAAGGAGCTCAAATCAGTCAATCCTGAAGGAAATCAACCCTGAATATTCTTTGGAAAGACTGATGCTGAAACTGAAGTTTCAATATTTTGGCCACCTGAAGCGAAGAGCTGACTCACTGGAAAAGACCCTGATGCTGGGAAAGATTGAGGGCAGGAGGAGAAGGGGGCAACAGAGGAAGAGATATTTGTATGGCATTACTGACTCAATGGGCATGAGTTTGAGCAAACTCTGGGAGATAGTTAAGGACAGGGAAGCCTGGCATGCTGCAGTCTGTAGGTCTGCAAAGACTCAGACACAATTTAGCAACTGAAAAACAACAACAAAGTATTGAATATAGTTCCCTGAGCTATATAGTAGGGTCTTTTATCTATTTTATATATATTTGTATGTGCGTGCTCAGTCACTTCAGTTGTGTCTTGCCAGGCTCCTCTGTCCATGGGATTCTCCAGGCAAGAACCCTGGAATGGGCTGCTACTTCCTTCTCCAACAATAAAGTATGAAGTGAGTGGAGTGAAGTGAATCAGTCATGTCCGACTCCTTGCGACTGCATGGACTGTAGCCTACCAGGCTCCTCCATCCATGGGATTTTCTAGGCAAGAGTACTGGAGTGGGTTGACATTTCCTTCTCCTATATTTGTATGTATCTGGTACCTATTAATCCCAAACTCCCAATTTATTCCTCACCCTGCTTCCCCTCTAGTCACTGTAAATTTGTTTTCTATGTCTGTGAGTCTGTTTCTATTCATAAACAAGTTTATTTGTATCATTTTTTTGGAATCCACATATAAATGATATCATACGGTGTTTGTCTTTCTCTGCCTTACCTCAGTGTGATAATCTCTAGGTCTATCCATGTTACTACAAATGGCATTATTTAACTCTTTTTTATGGCTGAATAATATCCCATTGTATATATGTACTACATTTTCTTTATCCATTCATCTGCCGATGGATGTTTAGGTTGCTCTAGTTGATTCTTATGTTTTTAAATATACTTCTACTACATGACTTATCAGCGTTGTGTTATTGTGTTGTGTTAGTCACTCAGCCGTGACCAACTCTTGCAACCCCATGGACTGTAGCCCACCAGACTCCTCTCTCCATGGAATTCTCCAGGCAAGAATACTGAAATGGGTTGCCATTCCCTTCTCTAGAGGGTATTCCTGACCCAGGGATTGAACCTAGGTCTCCTGCATTACAGGTGGATTCTTTACCAGCTGAGCTATCAGAGTAGCACCTTCACCCTTACACATCCTGATAAATGTCTTTCTACCCTTCAAAACACAGTGGACTGTTTTGCCTACCCTGCCTCACCTGCAGACTGCTTCTTGGGTTTGTGGTTTGTCTGTGTGAATTTCCCATTCAGTCCTCTCCTCTCTGCTTCTCCATCAGGTCAAACTGGGTCCACGGAAACTACTGCCATGAATTTATATACCAGTCCCTGGTGTTCTAATAAGGGCTCACTGGGTTTGCCTTCTGGCTGTACCATGGACTTTGGAGAATGTGTTTGACCATTTTCTCCTGAGGATCTGTAGCGTGAACATACTTTCTCTGTACTTTCCCTCCCTTCATTTGATCTTCACTCTATCAGCAGCTCCTCTCTATAAATTGTGGTTCAGAGTTACCGATGTCTCCTGGCATCACTAGAGATGGAGATTTCATTTCTTTCCACATAATCTTTGTTGCTTTGAGGGTGAACTCCAAGAGGAGAAGGAAGAAACAATCTCTCTCTACCATATGAAAGTGGAAATCACAAGGTATGTGATTAGTAATTTGCTTTTCAGAAGATAAATCTTGACTATAGTAGTTAGGTTGGATTGGGAGTAGAAAACAGAACGGCAGGTTTATACCACTTGGTAATAGCAGATGGTCCAAAGAGAGGCATCCAGGAGGCTATTGGAAGTTAGAGCCCAAAGAGGTTACCAAAGGATTCAGCAAGACAGAACCTTAAGCATTCACTCCAGTGAGCCAGTCAGGGCTCAGTTGTAGATAACAAAGCTATGCTTTTTAAATTTTTAAAAAGATATTTAAGGGAATCAAATCAATACAAGACCTGCAGAAGCAAGTTCCAGGTAGGAAATTGACCAGGCATGACTCTAGAAGAGCACCCCAGAACTGACTCATCAAGGGAACTCGGCAACAAAAAGGCATTAGGGAGTCGGAAAGCCAGTGGTCTAGCTACTGCTTCCACAACCCA